CACTATTTAGAGTCAGTTGCAGGTCTTCATGACCCGCGAGAACTTCCATAGGGATCATCTACTATAGATGAAGACCAATGATTGGAAGGAAGTCCTGTTGTTGCAACACAGAATTTACCAACATGTTCAGGCCATCGCTTCAGAGTTTATCTCTATAGTGATGATAACGGGCGTCATCACGACCTCGGGGGCTACGTTATCTTTGCTGATCGTTATGATCATTCCATAACAACCAGAGTGACATCTACTTTAGATGCCTCACAATGACTGGTTGGAAGTCCAGTTAGATCTTTAATGCTTCTATCATTTTTATACAGGCCACACGTCAGTGTTTACATTGATGTTGTGATAACGGAACACCATGGTGTCTCCGATGTTTACCTTTTTTTGTTTTTTCTATTTTGTTTCACAGAATAAAAAAAAATAAAGGCATGACGCCCCGATTCATCGGATCGTCATGAGGGGGAGAGTGGTCCCCATGCTGTTTACTCTAAAAAATCATTCTTGGACACTTCTCCTCCAACACAAAAAATGACGACAAGTCAGCTTCACATCAAATGGTCAGCTACGCTCACAAGTCAATCATCATTTTCCGCTGTACAACCCATTGGTTCTCCTCAAATACATTCACCTCAAATAGTCAAAAAGACTACATTGTGGAGGAGACAGAGGTCAGGTAATCAGAATCCCATGTGCGTCTGCAATTATTCAAGGACATTCATTCTAGAGGCGCGCCACCGGATTTAATCCAAGCTGATCAAGACCAACCTTTGGAAGGCAAGGACTACATGCAAGACACTGAAGATTCCTCAACTCTGGCATCAAACACCAAATTGCCAAGAAGACATCAAAGGGGAGATTGCTAGGATTTCTTCAGAAAGCCCTCTAAAGAAGTCGAGTTCAACACGAAGACAAAGGAAGCTGAGTTCCACTGAAGATCAAGACAAAAGAGGAGCAACTCAACAGATTTTATCTATGCTCTCCTCTACATTGCTGAATAAACACAAAGACAAAGATATCTGCGCTGCAATGCTAATTGAAGACGATTGAACACCAAGGGGTAGATTGTTGGGAATATTTTATGGTGTCCAATCTAATTAAATATCTTTGTATTTGTGTAGTTATTAGCTAAATGTGTAATATGGGCCACAAATGTATTTTAGCCCATTAGCCCACTTGTAAGCCTTAAGTTAGACATCCTTATGTATAAAAGGATGCTAACTTAAGCAAACCCTAACTCTCACATAAGCCTCAACGCAGATATCATTTTTAGTGAGAAGGGAGAAAAACGCCGTTCATACCCTATTCTGTATTTCGACATCTTTATTGGTATTGAATCGGATCATCATTTCTTCTGTACTCGTTATATTGTTTGTATGATTGTTGATTGATATTGGGACTAACAATAAGGAAGGACCCATTCCAAGATGGGGACCTAAATTTGCTTAACTGTTTTGCAGGGCGGTCATGTGTGACACTTAGATTCTGGATGCTCAACCCACATGACCGGAATCAAACACCTGTTGAGCAACTTCACCAACTCCTTTGGAGGAAATGTCAGATTCGACAATGACGCCTCATCTCCAATCCTTGGGTATGGGGATGTCATATGTGCCAGCGTCACCATAAAGGCTGTCTTTTATGTCAAAGGGCTCAAACATAACTTACTGAGCATAGGAAAATTTTGTGACAGTGGGATGGAAGTGAGGTTCTTTGCCAAACAATGTTGTGTGTTGGACAGCTTTGGGAACTCATTATTAACGTGTAACAGGACATCAAACATGTACACGATTGACCTGAAAAGTGTACAATCGACCACTTCAATCTGTCTGCTGTCCAGAGCCTCAACAGAATAGAACAATCTATGGCACCGACGCCTTTCCCACCTAAACTTCAAGAACACCTCCATTTTATCTTCCAAGAAACTTGTAAAGGGGCTTCCTCTGCTAAAGTCTTCTGCTGACAAGCATTGTAGTGCCTGTAAACTAGGCAAGACGACAAGAAGCTCCCACAAGTCAAAACATGTACCATTATCCACTCATCCGCTGCAACTTCTTCACATGGATCTGTGTGGACCTATGAGAGTCCAAAGCATCAATGGTCGCAAGTACACACTTGTTATCGTTGACTTCTTAAGGTACACATGGACAAAATTTCTTCGTACCAAAGACAAAACTGCAGGAATCATTATGACCTTCATCAGAACTATTCAGAACCTACTTCAGAAGAGTGTGAGGATAACCCGAACAGATAATGGCACTGAATTCAAGAATCAGGCTCTCATTGAGTTCTATGAATCTCAGGGTATCACACAACAGTTCTCTGCAGCCAAGACTCCACAACAAAATGGGGTGATTGAGAGGAAAAATAGAACACTTGTTGAAGCAGCACGCACCATGCTGATCCAGTCAAAGCTCTCTCACTTCATGTGTGCTGAAGCCATCAATACAGCGTGCTTCACACAAAACAGAACGTCCATCCATAAATGCTTCGACAAGACTCCCTATGAGATCCTCTTCAACACAACCCCAGATATCTCCTTCTTTAAAGTGTTTGACTGCAAGTGCTTTGTCCTGAATGATAGAAACGAAAGGAGCAAACTCGATCCAAAAGCCCGGGAGGGGGTGTTTATCGGCTACTCCACACAGTCAAAGGCATACAGAATCTATTTGAGAGGTCGACGAACTGTCATAGAGAGTGTGAATGTAACATTCTATGAAATGGCAGACTTCGTTTCTGAGCATTTCTTGACAGACCCTTCCTCTTCTCAACTGCAACAATCCACTGATGAAACCATTACACAAACTTCACCTGACTGTGTGATTCTTGTTGTCTCTGGTTGTTGATGTCGACATGTCTAGGAATGTCGACATGTCGAGGGATGTCGACACGATCTGGAACTCGTCGTCGTTTCTGAGTTTCCGAAAATAGACTGTGAAACATGCTCCTTCTGGGATTCTGCGAGATAACCGTGGATTGATGATTACCGGTCGGTGACAACCCCAACGTAAGAGATAGCGAGTCCGTCGTATTGGTGAGTGATTCGGTCGAGACTGGAATGGGGTCTAATTCCAGCCTTGTTGCTGCTGTCATGGCGTCACCTCTTCGGCTAAACCTTGAGTTGGAAACTATGGATGCCACCGATTGCACTTGAGAGCGCAACACATCATTTTCTCATTGGATAAAAGCAATCCTCTGAGACATTTCACGCCGGATTTCTTCCTTGACGGCTTCCAATTGTTCATGAAATTCTACTAGCAAAGGATTTGTGCTTCCAGCCATGATCGATTCTTCTTTGTGCGAATTTCCAACAGACGGCGCCAAATTCTTTATGCTAAAAATAAACTAATCTAAGAATGAAATGGGAATCGAACAATTATGAATCGATCATGAACTGAAAAATAATAAGAATATATACTTTATTCACTAGGAATATTTGGAATAATAATTTATACTTGAATACAAAATGGATAGCTATTGCTCCTAAAGTAATTACGTTGACAGTTCAAGTCTCTCCCCATGTACACCGCACCTCTCTATTTATTCTATTATTAAGCATGCACTAACTTCAACTTCTCCACTAAAATAGGCAGCAAGACCTACGGAATAGGCTTCCTCCCACTTCTATCTATCGGCAAATTATACCGTGCAACCGGCGCACCATGAGGATGGTGCACCCGGTTGCAAAACGACGCAGCTTCCCTGTTTTTTTTTGCTTTTGTTGTTTAAAAATGATGATAACTTTCATATTTTTGATCCGATTTTTATAAAATTTATATCAACATTTTTTATTTTTCATGATCTTTCAAATGAGACCAATATTGCTTATGTAATGTTAAGAAATTATCGAACTATTATATTAATCAGTATTGGATTATAAGGAAAATCGAATCTGTTTGGGAGATGATAGGTTTGTGAAATAGAAGATTGAATCTGTTTGGGAGTGGATCAGTGGCCTCAGTTACATTTGATAATACATTGAGTTACATCTTTTTATGAACAAGTTACATCTTTTTATAAGCAAGTTACATCTTTTTATAAGCAAGTTACATCTTTTTATAAGCAAGTTACATCTTTTTATAAGCAAGTTACATCTTTTTATAAGCAAGTTACATCTTTTTAAAAGCGAGTTACATATATATAAACACGAGTTGCATTTGACATGCCTGAACGCGACGTACATATATTTACACGTAAAGTTACATATTTTTACACGTAAAGTTACATATTTATACACGCGAGTTACATATTTATACACACGAGTTGCATTTGACCTGTCTGAACGCGAGTTACATATTTTTTTACGTAAAGTTACATATTGTACACGTAGAGATACATATTTATACACACGAGTTGCATTTGGCCTGACTGAACGTGAGTTACATATTTTAACACGTAAAATTACATATTTTACACGCAAATGTTAATATGTTAAAATTACATAGGCAATATTGGTCTCATTTGAAAGATAATGAAAAATAAAAAATGTTAATATAAATTTTATAAAAATCGGATCAAAAATAAAAAAGTTATTACCATTTTTTAAAAACAAAAGGAAAAAAAATATAAATCCGTATACCGGTATACGGTGCTCACCGTATACCGGTCGTACGGTATAGGCACTGCTATCTATCCCCTTTGCTTTATCTCTATTTTGAAATATTCCACTCTTATTGTGCCGCATAGATATTTCCCATTGGGCTGAATGTTATGCCACTAATTATGGATCTATCGGCTCATACGAAACATCATTTTTCCTCGTCCCAACACAGACCGGCAATTAACACAAAACATTCGAGTGTCCAGGTGAAGGTCGACGGAGTTGATAATTATTTACTTACCCGCCTCATATTTTAGTCCTATTCAAGTCTTTCTCCCTATTTTTTTGGATAAACCATTTACCATAAAAATACAAAAGGAAATTAAGTAAATGACGCACCAAATAACAAAATAATTATCGCTATAAAAGCAAGAGAGGAGGTCTTCAACATTTAAAACCAAAATCACAAGACGCTAAGAGCGAGAGTACGTGTGTGGTTATTGAAAATGTTTTTGAGAGCAACAGTTTTGGCGTTTCTTCTGGTCGGTTTGGCCGCCGCCGCCTATGAAAGAAAACCATACCCACCTTGCGACAAGTGTGACTGCACCGGGAATGGGTGCAAGGGGAGATTCCCGGCGGAGGCGGCGGTGGAGTGGCCGGACTTGGTCGGGGTTGATGAAACAATTGCACGGGTGACCATTGAGGAGACCAATTCGTACGTGACGGTGGTGACGGAGAATGATTACAAAAAGTGCCCGTATTTAGAGGATAGGTGTTGCAATCGGGTTGTTCTTTGTGTTCAGTATCACCCCACAAATAACGTGACCAATGTCCCCACGGTCGGATAGAATTGCAAGAACTTGATGACATTATATATACTACCACATTTTTGTTTTACAATTGTAATACGTATCACTATACCGATCATGAATTCTTTGGGGTGAATCAGAAAATATAATAAAAGTGTTAATTCTTAATGTACTAAAAAGAGTTGCAATATCTTTTTTGGTCCAAATATTTGTAGTTTGATCTATCATTCCCTACAATTATGTTTGAGCTTGATGTATGTGAAGTGGATTCTATATGTACAAAGTCGTATTAGAAAGTAGAAACCAATACATTACAAAAATTAATGACAATTCCCAAAACATGGTCTATCACGATTCTTTTTCAAAACATGACCTAACACATATGGGATGATCGAGATAAGAAAAAGAACACGTAACAATATTCATGCATGTCTTATGTCGATCATCATATTAGAAAAAAATTAAGGTTTTAGTGAACAACGTTACTACGGAGTAGTATGTACGGAGTATTTATTACGTAGTATGTTACGTTGCACTCATCTTGGCCAGCTGTAATGAATTAGGGAGTATATTGTGACAAAATTAGTTTTTTTATCCGGGTCGTTCTATGGTGCCTTTGAAAATTTAAAAGGTACGGTGCATTTGATTATATGGACAAATGGCAAATTGCCCCACTTTTGTCTACATGCTTTAATATTCTGCATGTCAGAGTGGTATTGGCTGAGCAATGAACTAGGTACGGTACACTCTTAATTTTAAGAGGTATCGTAGAAATCTCCTTTTTATCCTGACATTCTATCCTTTTCCTATTATTCTTTTAATTTTTCTTCTCTTTTGAGGAAGTAGTATTATAGTGTGGCTAGAACGAAACGATGGCTTACGGATGATTAATTATTAGATCTAATTTAATGCCTATGTTTTAATAATCGTGTCTTTGCGACACTGAGATAATGTTGTTACTGTGTTTTTTATCCTTGACGCTCAAGAGTATGTCCGTCGGGGATTTGAACTTGTGGAGTTAGAGCCAAAGTTTTGTAATGCCCCTTTCCAATACATTGAACCAAATCATTACTTAACTCATATATCACGGTTATAAGTTTAAACATCAACCGTTCATGGACCAATTTAGGAAAATCAAACGTGTAATAACTAATAAATCTACTCATCATAAGAAATTAAGAATCATGATTACATTTAACACATCTCTTTTGGATGTATCTCTCATATCTATTTTAGGAAATAACTATCACTCTTAAATTATAACTTAATTATCAAATATTAAAAATTATACACTTATAACAACACAATTGCATGTTATCAATGATCTCATTACATATATACTTATCAAAAACTCTTTCAAGATATTACAAATAACTATAAATGTTTAATTTTTAAATGAAACGCTAAAGTCGGGATGGAGATCGTCTTTATTTTCTTTTAAGTGTGGTAGTAAAGTTTTTTGACTGATTTGAAAGTAATACCATTATGAGATAGCTAAATATACTTAGAAGACAAATTCTACAATTACCCTTAAAAACCATACCGCTCATGTGAACTAATTAAAATATTACAATTGTATAATACCAAAATGCTTTCACCCAGGCCAAATATTGAGAGTTTGTTTGGTAACATGAGAATCAGTTGAATATGGTTGGATTCTGAGTGAATGCAGCTCAATTGGGTGAATCTGGTGAAGTACCAAAAAAATTATATTAGAATGTATTTTATTAAAAACAAATAAAGAAAGGCATATGAAAAGTAGCTTTTATTATTATCTACATTAACACGAGTTAATTCAGTCAGAGTGTAACTTCAATCTTACTCATTTTGATTATTACTCAATTCAGTATGTAAAATCAAATGTCATGTGTTAGGTAAAAAAATTGGTTAATAAGGTTTATAAACAGAGAATGAGGTTACTTAGGATGTTTTTACTTAGATTGGTTTCAATTAGGGATGGACTCGGGCCGGGTGGCCCGACACGGAACCGGCCCGGGACCGGTACTGTTCCGGCCCGGCCCGACCCGGTGGCCCGGTCAGTGACCGGTCCGGGTAGGCCCGGCCCGTGGGTTTTCCAGTCCGGGCTCGGGTCACCCAAAACAAGGCCCGACCCGGCGGGGCCCGGGCCTGGTTCGGGCCAAAAACTATTTTTTTTTTCAATTTTTTTTAAATTTTCGGGTTGGGCTGGGTATTTTGGGCCATTTGGGGTGGTTTGGGGGGTTGGGGGTGGGAGGGGGGTTAATTAGGAAGAGGAAAACAAAAAAAAAAAATATATAATTGGCCCGGCCCGGACCGGACCGGACCCGGTGGTTACCCGGGCCGGTCCCGGGTCCACCATTTCTGACCTGCCGGCCCGCCCGGGCCTAGGCCTGACCCGGACCCGGCCCGGACCCGAGTCCATCCCTAGTTTCAATAGTAGACCAAAACAAATCAAATTAGACTTAATTTGACCAGATCAAGATTTGATAGTAAAATGCACATTTATCAAACATCTACTCAACCGAACCACACCAAATGACACAAAAAGTTTCTAGTCCAACTAAAAACATTCTAAATAGGTTTTCAAATACCAAATTTCATCAATACTAAGTACTCCATAGCTACCAACCATGAGCAGAGTATACATGCCCTTACAAAACAAATTAAGCCAATATAATCCATGATATAGGCTATAGAGTCATAGATGAATCATTAAGCTAGGTGATCACACTCAAATAATGTAGATACAAAAGTAGACAATAAAACTTGAATACCAAGTCTTCATTACTAATTACTAATTAGAGAAGAAATTAAAGAAATACAGAGCACGCACTGCCTCCATCCTGGCCGAATCAGATGAATGATCACCGATCATATCATCACAGCCGCTACCAAGCTGATCATCGCGAGCCATGGAACTAAGGGAAGAGAAACGGCAGCTGAGGAAGAAGACCCTTTCTTGGGAGTCGTCGATGGAGAAGTAGAGGTGGCGTCGGCGGCAGGGGATGACGGTGTGGTTGAGCCAGAGTCCTTTACCACATTGACGGCCAGTTTCATTCCGCCGGCGCAGTGGCCGGCGGAGGAGCAGATGAAATAGTGATTTCCGGCAGTCTTGAGAGCGACGGTGGTGGTGCCGCTGCTGTCCGAGGTGATGGAATTCGCGGCAGTACATGATTTGTAGTCACTCTCACTTACTTCGTTCACCGTATGCCCGTCTGGGTATTTGAACACTGTAAATTCAATTTGAAATTAACGACTATACAAAACCATTTATGGTACAATATTATTAAAAAAAAAGATAAGGGTGAGATAGGACCTCGAACTTACAAAAAATGTCAAATAAGGTCTTATATAAGATGATCTGTCCGGCCGACGCCATTTGGGGCGGTTCCCGCTGGAATTTTTTGATGATTTTTTTGAGAATCTTATTCATTAAGTCTAGTTTAGTCATATCAAATTTGAACTAAAAATTCAATCGAGAAGGCATTTAAATAAATTCTTGAAGATAACTGCGCTTTTAACTGCGCAGTTATTTTCAAAAATTCATTTGAATGCCTTCACGATTGAATTTTTAGTTCAAATGTGATATGACATATGAGTAAACTAAACTTAATGAATAAGATGCTAAAAATATTTCATCGAAAATATTAACCGGGAACCACTCCAAATGGCGTCGGACGTACAGAGCATCCTATATATGACCTTATTTGACATTTTTTTGTAAGTTCGATGCCCTATCTGACCCTTATCCCTAAAAAAATTATTAACAATCACTTCGTCCATTCCACAAAATTATTCTCACTTACTCCGTACTATTTTGGAATGTTAATTTTTTTCCCATTTTCTTGTTTGTAAAGTTTTGTGTGGCTAACATTCATTTACCTTTTCTTACTCAACCACAAGTCCACAATCATGTATTTCCACTTTATTCTCATTTTCTTAATAAGTGTGCCAAGTCAAATTGGGATATACTTTTTGGGACGGAGGGAGTACTATAGTATACTCTCATAATCATTTGAGTACAAAAATTGAAAATAAATTATTATTTCGTATTATGAAGTTATTACTATAATAAAACATTTATTCGGACACTTTTTTGTAAACAACATTTATTTTAGTCATATATGTTATTATTTCTATTTATTATTTTTATTATTATAAAAATGTACCAAAAATCCTATATGAAGAGACTGTTTGGTACAAAAATGCTAGGTGTAACACTTACACTTTTCATACACACTTAATCAAATTAAGTCATTTAAACGAATTGCCATAAAGGCTAGGTGTAACACTTACACTTTTTATACACAGTTAAGCAAATTAGTCAATTAAACCAATTGTTTAGGCCCAAAACAATTGGAGTTAAATTATAATACAAACGGGCTGGGCTAAGTACTCATGACTTTTACTATTTTGAACCGGCACAGACCTATAAAAATAATACCTTGCCCGTCTAACCCGTTTTCGAGTTAATACTCCATCCGTTCTAAAATGATTTGCAATGTCAATTTTTCTTCTATTCCTATTTGAATTTCATTTCTAGATAAATATCTCTGTTCAATATATTGGATGCGGTGACAGACTCAGAAGTTTTCTAAAATGGAGACACAGTCGCATGGATGGGAATGGATCGGGTACATCACTGATCCATGGGCGGATCTAGGAGAGGGTCAATCTAGGCCTTGGCTTACACCAAATGTAAAAAATAATTTAATTTCTAAGGTAAAAAATTAGTGTAAAAGTTTTTCCAAAAATATTCTTTGAATGTACTGGCTCCGCCCTTGCACTGGTCTATTAAGCGATGGACATATATAGATTGTATGTCTAGTTTTGAACACATTAAGACCATTCTATTATCTCATACTACTACTGTGTCAAAAAATGAAGTACCAGGGATAATTTAACTTTGTTATTCCATCCTTCAATACAACTCTTAAGACTCAAAGTTTCATTCTAAAAGGTCAACCTAATAGAAGAAGGAGCAAAAAGTCTTATATAGTGTTGTATTGTTTTATAGCTTTCCGGTGTGGGACAAATACTTTAACAACAACTATATCATATTTCAGTACAAAAGATCAAAAGGTTTGTCGGTCTATCACGAATTGACACACTTTTTCATGTATATATTTTTTCAAGAACAGATGTTTTCCATCTATTAAGTTAATCCCACATATTAGAAGTTTTGCCATATCTTAAACTTATTCTGACTATAGACCCACATTATTCATACTTACCTAAAAAATCATTAATGCCACATTTTAAAGAAAGTTTAGTTATCATCTCAACAACATGTCTAACTGCATGTAATCCTACATCACAAGTTCACAACTTGTTTGTCATTTACATTTTTCACTACATATTATATGCACTTCGATGAAATTATCACTATATCTATTTTTTGACCGGGTAAGAGGGGAACGATTTTTATTTTAAGTAATTTCGGGATGAGAAGCGGGGCACTTGCCCCCCACCCCCTACATCCTCCGGTGGTTGGACGTACATTCATAATTTCTTATGTAGGCATGTAGCCTCAGGCCCTCACTTCTGGTCCTTATTAAACTTTACATTTCGACTTCACACATGTTAAGGAAATAAATTTGACTTTACTGTAGAATATACTGTTTGATACTGTTTGTCACTGTTTAACACTAGTTTACACTGTTTGGTGTAGATTTGTTTGCCAAATAAGGCAAATAAGGAAGTGTAAAGTTTAATATGAACCGGCCCGAAAAGGAAAGTGTAAAGTTAATTAAGGACGGGAGGGAGTATAAATTTTCATTAGTCTCTCAAGAAAATATCACAAGTTCAACTTCCAATATCAATTAAAGATGTTGCATTATCGTGATTTTTGCAGATTACGTGAAAACTATATCGGGAATTCTGCAGAAAAAACTTACCCAGAGAATCGCCAACTTTGAAAGTCTTGCCCTTAGACCAGGTTTGGTAATCGCCGGTAAGTCCCCAGCCATCTGAACCTCCGACGTTGAAGGTCGCGCCCAAACTTGGTACAACATTGCACAGTATACTAAGAACTAAAACCACCACAATAGTTCCCGCACCCATTTTCTTTCGCTTCAGAAGAGAGCAAATAGCTTAGAGATAGATAGACAGATAGAGATGCTTATTGTTTTAGTTGCTAGACAGGGATCAATGGGAAAAATTAAGTCTTGTTGCTATTTATATGCAAAATGGTACTCTTTCCGTCCCATAAAATTCTTCTCACTTTTCTTTTTTGGGTCGTCCCAAAAAATTCTCCCCACTTATCATTTTTGGACAATTTGTGTGGTTCACATTCATTTCACCATTTTCTTACACAACCACAATCATACATTTCCACTTTCTTAATCTCTGTGCCAAGTCAAAGTGGGAAGAATTTTATGGGACGGAGGTAGTACATCCTTACTTCATACCAAATCAAACAAAGAGCCCGTTTGGTGACCCCCTTTTTTGGCTTATTAGACTTATTATGCAGCTTTTTCACCAAACACGTAGGTTTTGATTTCGCGCGCTGAAATTTGTAATAAGCAGAAAAAAGTAAGGTTGAAGTTACTTTTCTGGCTGTTTTGGCTGGAGTTACTGTGGAGGATCATTTTAGCTATTTTTCATATAATTTTTTATTTAATTTATTGATAACAAATATTTTAAATATAATTTTTTCATGAATCAGCAAAATCAGCTAATACAGCCACTTCAGCCAGAACTTCATTAATTTCAACATAATCAATCAATTCAGCCAATTTTAGTGTTAACAAACGGGCTCAAGGAGTATACAAAAAACTAAGGGTAGTTCTGCTATTAACAAAAATAAAAGTTTGACTTGGGACATTCGAAAAAGAAAGGAGAATACTACGTTTTTTCGGAATGGGGGAGAACATATGTCTCTATTAAGCAAGTCAAATATGAAATATGTAGCATACTCGCTCGTAATTAAAAGATACTCCCTCCGTCCTTAAATGTTTGTCACACTTTGATTTCACGAGTTTTAAGAAGATGTATTTGACTTTACACTGTAGCGACACTGTTTCACACTGTAGCGACACTGTTTGGCACTGTTTGACACTATTTTGCATTGTTTGACACTGCTTGGTATATATTTGTTTACCAAATAAGGAAGTTGAAAAAGTATGACAAACATTTTGGGACATCAATTTCGAGAAAGTGTGACAAACATTTAGGGACGGAGGGAGTATATGGAGCACCTCAACATGCTCAATTCAGAGCACATGAGTGATGAATTGTCATCTTTTAAAATATTTAGATAATTTTGATCATTCATCACTATGATGCTCGATCAATTTTGAGCATGTGCTTTGACGCGCTTCATATATTTTCTCAAATTTAGATAGGCAATTTTTTGTCAAATTAAATATGAAGATATGATGATGATGATGTAGCATACATTTGCTTCTTTTAATTAAGTTGTAAAAGGAGCTTCTTTATCTTAATACTCTCTCCGTCCCTTATAACTTTGTCAACTTTCCTTTTTTGGATCCCACTAACTTTGTCACTTTCCTTTTTAAGTAAAGAATTTGTGGTTCCAGTTAATTTTCTCTTCTCTGCACAAACCTCAATCACACAGTTTTTATTTTATTAATCTACGTGCCGGTCAAATTTGGCAAAGTTATTAGGGACGGAAGGAGTATATACTAGTATGACATTTAGTACATTGATAATTTACCAACCGGATTACTTAAAGAACACTCTCTAATTATAATTCCTTCGAATGCACATGTCTCGTACTCGAAGTTGACTTGTTATGTTGGTATATACGAATCCCACCCCCCTCCTGCCTACTCACATGGTAATGACTCTCGGTAGGTTGTTTTCTTTGACTTTCAACTTCAATTAGAAATTGAAACTAGTTTAAGAAAGATTTTGAAGTCCACAATATTTTCAATAAGACCAATGACATATTACATTTTTCACATTATCTACTTTGATTACGTTCCATTTTTTAATGTTGAAAAAGATTTGTTAAATTTGTCTCATTGTAAATTTTCAAAATCTTATTTTTTATTAATAGAGAATTGTATACATTAATGATCAAACTTGTGCATCATATCTATATATCGATACATGTGCATGTTAACCATCGCACTTATTTAACAATTTTCAAACTACATTTTTTAATCAAAGTGTATTTTACTATTGTGTAAGTGGCATTGTGTAGTCTAATCCGTTCAAGTTTGTTTTCGTCTCACATGGACTGAGACTGAAATATCTTCAATTAAAACCTCCTAAACTAACTTTTTCTATTTGATTTTAGGGAAAAATAATTAAAATACCCCGAATTTTGAAGAGGTGTGAATTAAACAGCTCAAACTTTCATATGTAATTTAAGTACTCCAAACTTTATATAAAAAGTTATTTTAACACCATGGTCATGTATCATTTCAAAAATTTATGATGTTAGTTGCATAATTTAAAAGAGCAAATTGAAAAAATTGCAATTTTATAGAGTTTGGGGGGATACTATTTATTTTACATTGAAAGTTTAGAATGCTAATTGTATCTTCATGAATGCTAAAATGTTTTAAATTATGAAACTAACACCAATTATTAACATTGTTGAAAAAATAATACAAGATCATTGTGCTAAAATAACTTTTTTTATAAAGTTTGATGAGGTATTTAAATTACGTATGAAAGTTTGGGGTACTTACCTCACACCCCTTCAAAGTTGGGGTATTTTAATTATTTTTCCCTTGATTTTAAACATCAAAATTAAGCAACTGGTTTTTTCCAGTACAAACCTATCAATGCATCATCTACAAACATGAAATCTTGATCTAATATATTAAATACTATCTGCATAGTACTTGTTTGTTTATTTATCGTTCATGCACAATTATTAACTTTGTCATTGATCAAACATTGGAAATCAAAATGTGAATTTATTAATGCATGAAATGTGAATTTGTGTAATAAACTAGAATACTAAAATAGTACTCAGTATCATTAACATGTACAATAGTACTGCATACATAGTACTCTCTCCGTCCCAATTTGATTTGCAAAATTTCCTATTTTGGTTGTTCTAAAATGTTTTTCCACTTTCTATTTTAGGTATGTAAATAAGAATAAAGTGAAAAATTTACCCTTACTTTTACTTTTTTCTCATTAACTTAAAGATATCTACTTTTAGAAAAATGGGCAAAAATGTAAAAAAAAAAGCATCATTTATTGTCATTCCTTAATCCTTGTGTCGATCAAAGTTTGCAATTCAATTCGGGACGAAGGGAGTATTTTTTTTATTCAAAACATACACAAACAATGGTGAATGGTTCAAGAATTGATAAATATCTCTTCCTTATTTGATAAGCAAATGTATATAAAATAGTGTTAAACAATGCAAAATGGTGTCACTCAGTGTCAAAACAATGTCAAATAGTATATTCTACAATAAAATTTGTTTACTTAATATGTGTGAAGTCAAATTAGAACCTTTATTATAATAATATGCTAACCATAGTAATTTAAAATGTCTGATTAGAAAGTAGAAACTACTACACCTCAGACAAAGTTGGACAACCCCAGAGGCTCGGCCAAGATTGAGGAACAAATTGACTTTTTAAAATATTAAAACCTGGCCCTCTAGCTACTTGTACAATTCACAGACTCACATTATATTTAAGTGAAAGCTTATTTAAATGTGATCTTAATATTACTAGCAAACTTAAGTTAAACATAATCTATATGAGTAATAATTTAAATTAAAAGACCAAAAATAAGATCAAGACCTATCCCATACATATAAAACAGTAAAACACAATTACTTTAATTATAAAAGCTATCTAAGTATATTTAAAGAATCATCGATTCTTGTGGTCATACTCCAACTAATTTTCTCTATATTTAACACCAAAAAGCATTAGGTGGAGTTAACTATACTTAAACCCTAAATATAGCAATGATAAAATGTTCACCTAATACCACTACAACAACACCCATAAAGATCAGGAGGGTCCCCTCCCACATGCCAAACTCATCACCATTTTGTCATCAAAGGTAATGGGTTCAGTTGAGGCTAACTGCCCTATCTTCTCCAAAATTAAGTGAAATTCTGATATATATTGATATGTCAACATTATTAAACAAAACATTTTATAGTGGGTAGTCTACCTGGAAACCTCACATTTAACAATTCAATGAAGATTGTGTCATTCAACCCGCATGGGTAGCTCAGTTGGTCGAGTGGTGGGAAAATTGGACCAAGTGACCAAGGTTCGAAATCCGCAGCGGGCGTGTGGAGGTTATAGAACCTGAAATAAGGCTGGACATCTGGTGCGCACGTATCTAAGGCATACCACCGCTTTGCTGACTGAGTCACCGTGATTAACCTCTCCACCATCCTATCGGGTCGGGGTGAGGGGGGACCTTGGGGTTGGGCATTAAACCTTTTGGACTAAGATTGTGGCATTCATTTAAATTCTGTTCTTCCTACTTTATTTCTTCATTGTCTTCACTCTACTCCTAAGTCCTAACTTCTTAAGTAGTACTCTCTCCTTCTCGAATTGAATTGCAAACTTTGACCGGTACAAGGATTAAGGAATGATAATAAATGATGCTTGCTTTTTACACTTTTGTCTATCTTTCTAAAAGTGGATGTCTTTAAGTTAATAGGGAAAAAGTAAAAGTAAGGATAAATTTGTCAGTATATTCTTATTTACATACCTAAAATAGAAAGTGAAAAATCATTTTGGGATAACCAAAATAGGAAATTTTGTAAATCAAATTTGGAGGGAAGTAGTACCAAAATGCGCCACAAATGAAAGTGGGAACCTGTAAACAGGGGCGGCTTTGAGGGCAGTTGGGCCAGGAAACTGCCTTGGGCCTCAACTACCAAGGGGGCCTCCAAAAAATTCTACTCCGGTATTAGTATTAGGTGTTATTCGCAGACCGTCAATACACCAAGCGGCAACGGCAAGCAGAAATCAGCTTTATAGTTCACTTTTGACTATTTGTTCTTCAGCAAAGTTGTAGCTAATGAAGTCTTCTATCCAACACAACTTGCAAAACTGGTTTTGAATCATCCAATAAAACTATATGAATAAAATGGTGGAAGGTCGCATTCTGAAATCTCAACAGAGGTTGTCTAACTTTATCGTCTGTTTTCAGCTTGCTTCTCTCAGATTCTCACAATAGTAGCCCTTGAAGTTAGCTTTCATAT